GCAACCGTACCACTAGAACAACGCAGAACAGTCAATTCTGAGTGGTACACAACTATTTGTTTGCCAGTTGTTTTCCAAGAAATCAGGAAAACCAACCGTCGAAAACGGATCACTCTTCACACGACAATGCGAGCTCTCACACATCTGCTCAAACAACTTCATTTTTGAGCATCCAAAACATCGATTTGATGAGTCATCCGCCATATAGTCCTGACTTGGCACCGAATGACTTCTTTTTATTCCCTCACGTAGAAAACAAACTTGAGAGGTCAACGTTTTTCGACACCTGAAGTAGCGGTTGGTGCATTGAGAATGCATGTTTTGGGGATACCTCAATCAGAGTGGCAAAAGTGCTTCGACAATTGGTTCAAACGCATGCAAAAGTGTATAGATCTTCATGGGGAATATTTTGAAAAACAATAAAGTGATTTTCAATGATTAATATTTGTTTTTGTTCTCTAATCCCGAAATATAAAAGGCAACCATCGTATATCCATTCTCAATGTATTTACCTATATTTGAAAGGGTAGTGTTTAATAAAAAGACGTATTCAAATTCGGTTTGCTACATGTGAATGGCCATACCAGAAAATATTTTTGGGGTGTAACTATCATGTACACTTTGACATTGGCCAATGGTTACGCTGAATCCGATTTCCGCTTCTGTACATTTTTAAATTTATCTTTGTTTCAGCTCTGAAACATTCGCCATCGAAAAGGAAATCCCTATCAAGACCTTTGGGGCGACACGAGGAAACAAATGAAAGAGAAAGTGAGTAAGATTATTATTGATCATTTTCATCACTTTTCGTATACAACCCTTCAGAAAATTCGAATCGGTTTGGTCAACTCTGTTCACTTTGATAACTGTCAATAGGATTGCAGAAATTTGAGCTCTAGCGGCCGTTATTTGAAACTGTTTTTGATTTCAGTTTTTCATTCCACCGCCTGTTACAATTCCTTTCTAATGTTCAGTCAGCGCGAGTGGTTAGCATCTTCATAGTCTGTGTTATCGCTTTCAAGGTTGGAGGTACACTAGTGCATTCATGGACGCAGGCTATATTTAAGAGTGAGAGGAGGGGGAGGTCAGCCCAATCACATAAGGGTTGTTCGGCCAGTCCAATCTGTTCAGTTGGAATGGTCTACTCATACAGTCCGGGTATCTCCCTCTACTGGTGTTCCGCATAGTTAATGGTTTGTTTCATCCAGTGTTGTCATATTTGTAGATTTCAATGCTACCAATTAGCTAATGAATACTCCAAATAGGCAACAATGTGAACTTTCTTATTGGTCAGTGGGCTATGCTTGAAGTAGGTTGAACCTACTGTGTAGGTATATCCGAGACGGGCTTGAACATTCAAAGTTCATTTCTTTAGATTTGTTTACTGCCTTTCTTCAAGCATAGTCCACTGACTAAAAAGAAAGTTTTTCTTCCTTATTCAGAGGAATGGGGCAAATTTCGGATATGCAGTTGGTAAGTACCTCGTCCACTAGATGGAGTGACATTTTTGTTGTTTGCTCCAACTTAAGACGAGAAATGAAATACTCTGAAAGAATTTCGATTTTCAATTATGGAGTATCATCGACTTTAGGTCGATGATGGCCACTATCTTGCACTGACGAGTGGCTAATGAGCCCGAAACCGCTCTGCAAGTGTGCCCGTTCCAAAATTGAAGGTCGACTCTTTCAGTTGTATTGCCAATTGCATATGCAGGACATTTTCTGTGAAGATTCCTGCACTGACGCCTGTCGGATATAATCCAACACCCTTCGTGGTATTAACCAGGGGAGTAGTTGTTTTCTGATAGGCGTCAGTCCATTCAACCTACCGTGTAGGTATATCCGAGACGGGCTTGAACATTTAAAGTTCATTTCTTTAGATTTTTTATAATGTGAAGGAAAATAGAATTATTTCTGAATGTAAACCAAAGCAGGAGCCGAAGGCAAAAGTTTTCTTAACTTCCATCCCAAAAGTAATCGACAGGATTGGTCGCCTGCTTCGAAAGTACACCAAATAACAGCATTGCTTGAGATTAGCTAAGGACAGAGGTGCGAGAATGCCCAGGCTGACTGGGCAGATTGGACTGGTCGAACAACCGACACATGATTGGTCAGGACCGGCCGTCCCCTCTGTTTCATATTTTACATATCCTAGTTACTTTTCCAATACCAAAGAATACACATTTTTATTCTGCAAAAATAGCTTTTAGTTCTGCATTAACAACACAGTCATAATTGATCTCACTTATATGACAGTTTTTTATTATTTCTAAATCTCGTACTGCCGGTAAGCCAAGTAAAGATTTAGGTACTGTTGAATTCAAAACATAAAACTGACAAGACTGGATTGTATCTTTATAACGACATATTGAAAACACGGTACCAATCACGTCGATTTTATGTCCAGAGTATGAAGACAATGTTGTTTTTGTTGTTAAAAGTTGGTTGATACCAATTTTTAATTTTTTGAAGTCAGAATAATTCAATATATTGACTTGACTACCAGTATCCACTTTCAATTTGAAATCTATACCATTTATTTTGAGTGTTTCAAACCACTCAATAGAATCTACAAAACAGTTATTGAAATAACCTATTTCTGATTTATCAATTGTCCAAACAATATTTTGTTCATATTGAGAATCATCCTGATGAATATCAAATGTTTCTTCAATTTTGCTTTCGACATCACAAATTTCANACTGGATGCCTCATGATGGATTATAATTTTAATACCCACTGTGACGCCAATGAGTAACAAACTTTGTTGTGTTGGTACTCTCTATGATCTCAATTTTTGGTTAGAACAATTGTATTGCTTGCAAACTCAACAGAAAAGCATCATTATTACTCTCTATTATCCTTTCACTATATGTCATCCTTTAAAATCACTATTTCAATAAATACCATGCACGAACAACAATGGTAGCACGAACTGGAGAAATTTGTAAACAGTAAAGAATGGTCACACAGGCATTCAACAGCGTTGTTACGTATGGAGTTGCAAGGAATCGCTCAGAAATATTTGAAAACACAAAACAATTTTTAAAGCACATTGCACTAATTTATTTAAATTCTGAAATGTTTGATGTCGATTTTTATTCCACGAAATAGGTCGTGATTTCAATAGGAACGAACGGGACTCGTTGATGAAAAAGTTTAGGTCAGTACTACCTTGGAATGTTCCCGAACGCCGACTTCATCTAATGAGCCAAGTAATTAGGTCCATTTTATTTTCATCCAACCACGAAAGCAATAGCTGATGGCTCAGAAACTCGAAACCACAAACAGAGTCCATAGGATTTAATAAATTTGTAGTATAATTATAGCAATGTAACTAATACAGAGTAAAAACAATCTTTGAAAAGTTTACATTGTCATCCTTGAGACAAATACCAATGTTACGACAGTTTTTGACTTCTTTAAAGTTTTTCCCAACTTGATTTCGAAAATTGTACAAAAATTTGAAATTTTTTCAATCTTCCATTAATATTACTTCAATAATGTTTTTGCACCATGTATTTATTATAAAATGAATTGTGTGAAACTAGGATTGTAACTGTATAGTTGCGATCAACTTTGCTTGTACTTGAAAACACTCACTTTATCTTGAATTATTCAGCAGCGGTGAAGACTAATAATTCAACTCAACATAGTATTGTGAGCAAAAACCGTAAGTATGTTGAGTGTCTTGTCGTTTGTGAAGAATATTCAGTAAACTTTTTTGATGTTTGGGCTTGTGACTGATAAAAACTGTTGTGATTTTTTATTCACAAC